CCCGGTCTTGCCCCCAAAAAATCAAAGGGACTTTACCATTGACTTCAGGGATGGGTCCCAAGTGCCACAATAGCTTCAGTGAGAATTTTTCCCGTGAGAACTGCGGGATCGGGCTAGGTCCTGTCTCTCTGTTGGAGTATGTGTGTGATCACAAGAAACCTCACAGCTGAATTATTAGGGTCACCATCAGCATCTCCAATGCAGGGGGAAAGGAAGCTGGGGGGGGCACCTCCTTTTTTGTCTCTTGCAGTCGGATGGTGTGGGCTGGTTTGCCGCTCTCCTGCCTCCTGTATAATTGCAACGTGCCTTTCTCCTTCATAAGCTGTTTGCAAGGCCAGGGGAGGATGCCCAACAGCCAGTGAAATTCCCCCCGGAGAGGGAGCAATGAAATCCCAATGTTTGTAGTTGACCCAGGTTCCTTTAAATTAAGGCTATTGAATAACGCGCAGGATCGTGCACTAAAGGGGAGTGAGAGCACAAAACGGTGGAGACACAAAGGAAACACTCCAAATTACAGGGCAATCTGATACTTATGGACTACTTTACTGATAAGTAATTCTTTTAGCAGATTTCCAAACAGAAAAGCTACTGGTTTTTTTTGTTTAACCTTTTCTTTACGTAAAATGCTTCCAGATTTTGTTACAATTTAACCCATTTTTTTCCTCTGAAGACTGAGAAATGTGAATATTAAAATGTCCTGACAAAGTTTGAGATGTCAGATTAAGGGAGAGAATCGTGTCCATATTTAGTAATAAAAGGGAGGGAGCATTTTAAAATGAGAATCAGACGCCGTGGAGTTTCTCTATGAGGTTCGTTCTACTTTCAAGTGTCCTGCCATGTGATTTTTTTACCTCCCCATCGAAAACAGTCACCGTAGAACTGTCAGTTGTCCAGGCGCCCCGGCTAAAGAAAATCTTCAATGCGTGGGAGACAAATAGAACCGCCAGTTGTTACTTATATTTGTCTTGGGGTAGTAGCGGGCAAAGACCCAACAAAAATTGAAGCTCCAATGTGCTAGGTACTGGAGGGACACTCCATCACACTGCATTCCCAGCACACGTCGATTAAAATGAGAAAAGAATGCAGGAGAACCACGATTAAGATCATGAGAAAGTGAAGAGAGCCCTCTAGTTAACATTTATAAAGAGATGATGCCACTTGTCCGCAACATGGCTGTGTGGCCTGTATAAAGGAGCTTTGGAGAAGCAAGTCAGAACTCAAACCTCCAGGACAAAGGCAATACAGCTTAGTTAAAAAAAAAAGCTAGATATTTTCTCTGTGACAGTCTGCTTCACCATTTGCTTCCTGTATTGGATAACAGACTACTTTCGGGTTCAGTTTGTGGCACAGAAATGTCCGGCTCTGGAATTCAGTCTGGATTGGAATTTCTTGGCTTTGTGAACCTCTCTCGCTCTAGATAAATGTCTGACCTTAATTGATAGAGGTAATCCCATAAATTTAAAATCGAATGGGGAACAATTTGCCACCCCTTGATTGTTGTTAAAAATGTTAAATATTTGCCAGAAAAAAAAATCCTCCAGCTGCTCAGCTTTCTCACAGGTAAATATGCAATATACATCTTAAAAGCTTCCTTAAAAATGACTCCGTGAGAACTGCGCTATAGAATATTCCTTTAAAACCAGTCTACAAGCTCGTCATTTGGAACTATTAAGTAATCACACATTGCATTTCAGCAATTTACAGAATGCTTACTTTGTACCAGCAACTCCTTTGGCTAGGTCCTGCCTAGTGAGTGAAATGTACAGTGTTTACTGGTTAGACAGGAATAGCTCCTTTGAGTTTATTGCCTCCATATGCACCACTCACCTACAAACCCATCTGCACGCCTCTAGGAAGAGCCGTTCATGTGCAGCGGTCCCTTTTTCAGAATTTCAGGTTGTATTCCCTTTATTCCCACCTTTGAAAATAATATTTTATCGACTGATTAAATGACTTTAAAACAAGGAAAAATATTAACGAATCCACTAAATGTATTCAAATTCGATATAATTTTTTAATGGCGAAACCGATTTTAAATTTCGAAAAGAAAAAAAACTGCTGGAGAGAGATTTTATGTTAATAGTGAGTCTGCGCTAGAAGGCTCCGCTAAAAATAATGGAAATACTGACATGACATTGCTAAAACTGTAACTGTAATACCAAAGGACACAATCAAATACACCGCTAGGCACTGCTATATTGGAGTGACAGTTGTTCACACACCATTATAAAATCCTCTCTATGACTGGCTTAAGGAACAAACCTGCTTTGTACTTCAGTTAGTCAGGAGACCGCTTAGCCATGAGTAGTTTTTTAAAAATGTATCTGTAACGTTATGAGTGAATTCGTTTGATTGGCTCAAGGTGACTTTATCATTTACACTATTAAAAAGGGCAGTCTGTATAGCAATAAGATAACTACTAACGCTTTAATTTAGTATCATCTTGCGAAGGAAAATTAATGTTTCTGTGCTCCTTTAAACAGCAGATACTTTCCACTCAAGAGAAGGTTGCATTTTAGCAGAGAAAGATGGGAATACTTTATGTAGCAGTGGAATTTGTAAACGTCTGTAAAGTGCTTTGATATAGAGGAAAGCAGCAGATGAATGGAAGCTCTATTTATTAAAAAATGCATTTTCACACTATAGGGAAATGTATCAAAATATAGACAGATACCCCAAAGCAAAAACAGCCTTTCAAGGTAAAAGTCTTCTGCCGTTCAGTTTACTGACGCATACACTCAGGCAACTCCGATGGCTAATGTGGATGTTCAAAGAAGACATACCTCTTGGACTGACTGGATACACTGAATTATTGATATGGCTCCTTAGCACAGGAGTAGCAGAAGGATGACTGAGTTATAGGAAGGTCAGTGGTAGTGGTGGAAGTGGAATAAGCACAGTCATGTCTTGAACCATTGTTTATTAATATTGGTCTTCACTTGTATTAGTAGGGTCTAGGAGCCCTAGTCAGGGGCCAAGACCCATTGTGCTGGGCGCTGCACAAACCCAGAACAAAAAGACAGCCCCTTCCCCAAAGAGCTCACAATCGAAGTATGAGGTGGGGTAGCACGAGGAAACAATGAGATAATATTGGTCAGTAACACCAGCACAACAACTGCCTCACAACTTTTTAGGTTTATCCTGACCTTCTCACCCTCTCCCTTCCCTCCATTCCCTTCCTTGTCTGTCCTGAGCCTCCCCTTGACTTGGGGTTTGGCCCAGGCCTCTGCCTGCTTCACCTGCAGCCAGTCAGGCAAAGCAAATGGAAACCCAGGCCATTCCCTGCTCAGCCTTTAGCAACAGACAGTGACAAATAATTGCCCGGAGGAGGGGAGGGGAGAGAAGAGGAGGCCGCGCTGAGAGCAGGGGCCCCGACAGCACTATCTGATTCGAGGGCCCCATGCGTCTCCTTCAGTGCAACAGAGGTGGCCCGGCCCCAGCCCGTAGCAGTAGTCCCCTGCAAGTGGGGGTGTCCCCTGCAAGTGGTTGTGTGTGGAGCGGGGCCAGCGGCTACAGAGAGGCGACGTCGTGAATTCACCTTAGCTTGTGCGAGCAGCATGGCCAGGCAAGGCGGCAGGGGCAGTGGGGCTGCCTGCAGCGTCTGCCGGGGCTGTGGGGCGGGGGGGCACTTGGCCGCAGTGACTGAGTGACTCCGGACAGCGTCAGCCACTTCTCCTGCCCCGGCTCGGGGCGTGTCTTTGCACCTGCTCTCTAGCGCCGCCCTCGGGGTCCGCTGCAGAGGGAGATAAGCGGCCATTGGCCGCCGCGCCTCGCCAGACAGCCCTGTTATTGTTCGCGCCGGGGAATAAAATAAATGTCTGGGCGCATCGTAAATAAAATGGCGGAAGAAACACACGCAGGCCCCTCCGGCGAGCGCGGGCTCCACCGCGGGCCGCAGCGAGGCCCTTCGCTTTGCAGAGCCGCCTGGGTGGCCCCGAAGCCGGGGGCTTGGCCGGGCCCCTAGGGGCAGCGAGGCTGAGCAGAGGCTGCTGCGGGCCCCTGCCGCGGGGTTGCTCGGCCCGGCCCTTTGCTCGGCCTCGTCAAGCCCCGTAGGTCACTGTTGCGGGTTAAGAGGCGCTCAGCAGCTTCGGCCCCCGAAGCAGCCATTTCCCACTGTCTTTACAGCCACCGCCCGCCTTGCAGCCGGCGCCTCCGGGGCGGGGCGGGCGCAGCGGCCTCGGCGGGAAAGCGGCTCCGGGGCCGCGCGGCTCAGTCACACTGCCCGCCCGGGCTGCGGCCTGGGGCAGCCGCGTGTGCGCCAGTGACACCCCGTCCCCCTGCGGCTTCCCCGAGCAGCGGCGGCGGCGGCGGGGGTCCGCCCTGAGGGGCTCCAGCTTCGATGGGGGAGCGGTTACAGCCCCCTTGGAGCACGGGACGATCTGGCCGAGGGCGAGGACGTGGGGCTTGTGCACATAACGAGGAGCCGGGCGCTTGTCTGCCTGGGCGCATTACCCACCCAGTGCATTGGCCATCAGTCGCAGAGCAGAGTAACGCAGGGCTCAGCCCTGCAGCCCCCCTTCCCCCCCGCCCCGCTGCAGGTCAGGGGCTTTCTGCCGGGTCGGGCCCCCAGAGCCCGGGGCCCGCGTTACCTTCCAGCCCAGGCGCACTTGAGTCGCGTGGGGAGACACGGGCTGCGCGGCAGCTCCCGGGTTTGACAGCGGTGGGCCCGCGGCGACTGTCCGTCCCCGGGCGCAGCTGGGCCCTGGCTGGGACGGGCCGCGGGCAGGGTACCTGGCGGGACTGGAACTAAAATGGCATTTTAAGGCGCAGGAGCGCCCCCCCCCCCCAGCAGGCTCAGCTCGCCCCGAGCCTGAACCCCAATGTCCTGGCGCTGATTCGCCGACAGAAAAGCCCACCTACGCCCTCGCGGGGAGACGTGCCCTGGTGTTAGCGTCCTGCGGCCCGGCCAGCCCCGCAGCCAAGGGAGCCGGGGACACGCGCGGCCCCGGAGGCTCATGCCCATCCCCGAGTTTCTAACTGACCTGTCGCTTCTTTTCCAGGTTTGGGCGACGCCTGGGGGCAGCCGAGCAGAATAGGGCCCTTGGATAATGTGGCTAAAGAGCTGGGATCTCATTTGCTTCAGGTAGAAGATGCTTTATTCGAGTTTTACACGCTGCATTGGGATTTTTTGTGACTCTGTGTGTAATCCTCCCTATCGCCCTCCCAGCCTAGTTGTTACATGCAGCCTTTGTGAGGTCATTCTGTTAACACAACTTAGAACCACGATTTTCTTTCAGCTGTTCAGGGGGAAGCCAGTCCTTTTAATTTTCGTTCTTTGATTTTAGCAGTACCAACAGCCTACATTAATAAGAACGGTTTGCCTGGTAAGCCTAGTCCAACAATTACAAATAAATCCTCCCACCCTGCACACACACTAAGGAATCTCTTTTGGTACTACAAACGGCCCCTGGTGAATTGCAATGTGGATTGTATTTACTATCAACAATCCAGTCAGGGTGTTTTTGTAAATGGGAGATCATAGTTCTCCACAGATTGCTCAATAGGGAAAACCTTAAAAGAGCGCATGGCTCCTGCAGCAGGAGGTGAACATCTGGATTAGATCTCCTATTTAGTTAGCACCTGAAAATACAGTTGTTCCAAATCCTGTTGATCTGCCCTGAAATTCTTCTGCTCCCCATGTGGATGTCCCCATGCAGCAGAGAATTTAGGGAGCAATAGTTGGGCTGGGGCACCCAAAGGGAGTTTTATGTTTGTAACCTTAATGGAGGGCGGACTCTCCCTCCCACTTTAAAGACATAATAAATTGTAATTATTTAATGGTCAGTTTTATTGAGGAAGGTTAATATTTAGTCACATAGCTGTTTTTAAGTGTACACTGGGGTAGTGATTAAATCAAAAGAGAAACTCAGCCTGGGATCCCTAAGTATTGGAAACTCTTTCAGAACCTCATTCCTAACGTAGTCCACTGGCATTTGTGTCTGTTAAGCTGTGGGATTTTAAAGGTGCATTCAGAAAATTTGTCACTCTATTTTCCATGCTATTGTATTAATTCTCCTTATTGTTTTTCCAGTTTGTATCAGAGTAGCCTAAGAAGTAGGCAACATTGATACAATTCATATGACTAGAGTTGAAGCGGACAACTTCTAGTGCAGTGGATTGTAGCTCACTCTTGTCTTTCATTCCCACTGTTTTGAAGATAAGATACAGTGAGGTGAATAATAACATAATGAAAACCTGAAGCTTTTAGATTATAAACTACAGTTATAGGAACATGGACATTAATGGTAAAAGCCCCTTAGTTTCAAGGGGTATGGAATCAGGCCCTGGGAGCAGTTGGAATAGCTTTTAAGATTGAACCCCAAAAGATGTGGTGCGCTAGGTAAAGCAGCTAAGGTGAATAATCAGTATTAACAAAGGAAGAGCAAAAAGCATGGATCAGTTAGAAAAGATGTAGATTCAGATTAGATTTGAAATGGCACGAAGAGTGGATTTTTTTTTTTTGGTCACAATACCCTTATTATTTAAAGCCAACTTAAAATTGGTTTACTCCTTTGTTTAAAAAGAGAAAACTATCTTTCATGAAAGGGTTTGAAACACATTATTGATTTTAATAAAATAAATATTAGTACTTGTATTAGTACTTGTATTGAATTGAATAATACTATTTCTTTTGTTTTTTTACAGTGCAAATATTTGAAAATGTAATAAAAGCCCAAAATATTTAAATAAATGGTATTCTATTATTAACAGCGTGATTAATCGTGATTAATATTTTTAATAGCTTGACAGCCCTAATAAATATATTTAGGCAAGATTTGGTGATTGCTCTCCTGGAGATGTTCTCATCTAGCTCATTAAATAAGCACTTTGAATTTTATTTCAATATTCAAATATTATTATATATTTTAATAAAATAAATATAAGTACTTGTATTAGTACTTGTATTGAATTGAATAATACTATTTCTTTTGTTTTTTTACAGTGCAAATATTTGAAAATGTAATAAAAGCCCAAAATATTTAAATAAATGGTATTCTATTATTAACAGCGTGATTAATCGTGATTAATATTTTTAATAGCTTGACAGCCCTAATAAATATATTTAGGCAAGATTTGGTGATTGCTCTCCTGGAGATGTTCTCATCTAGCTCATTAAATAAGCACTTTGAATTTTATTTCAGATAAGTTTAGTTGATACGTTGGTTTGGAGCCGTTGGTTTGGAGCCATTGGTCTATCTTGAAAATTTGTGTGTAGGTACATAAAAATCTTTATGAAAGCCTTTGCTTGTACAGTAGCTACTTAATCTCTTAGTTATTTTACATTTGTTTAGTCTCAAAAGCAGTTAGGCAATATTATGTGCTAATTACCTATAACTGCTGTATAAAATGGATTTTACTTCTAAATTATAAATGCTCAAAAATTGTATTAAATCAACACAGTTACTGTCAACTTTTTTTTAAGAATAGCACCTTGGGTGAAATTTTGTTTGCCAAATTTCAACTCTAAGCTAAAATTGTTCTAGCTGAGTTGGAAACCCCTAACAATAATTCTAATGGAAGAATGGACACAACTTTTACTATACGATTGGGAACAGCAATTGAAAGTTGACAAAGAATGTTTAAAGTGACATTTTTATTTAAGGATGCAGTGATTTCTTTCCCATTTTAATACATCTACAAAGTTTTGTTTATGTTGAAGGGGGATAAAAAAGAGTAAAGCTAAAAAGTAATCTGGTTTCAATTATATGCTGTAAAAATAGTTAGTAGGCCAGAGAATAATTTGGAATATTTTTTATTAGGGCCACATTGTATGCACCACTTTTACAGGATTTTATAGCTTTTCTCCTGGTTCAGTATCCTAAAATATGAATTAGTAGGTAGACAAGGCAGTTGTTTTATCTCTGTACTTCAGAAGTTAGTTTTCCCCTTCCAAAAATACATGTTTATTTTTCAGTGATCTACTTGTGTACAGGTATTTGGCCAGGAAGTTCAAAAGTGATTAGTGATTTTAGATATTTCTGATTTTCCTAAGTACTGGCCTTCTGAAAAATCAAGCCCTTATTAAAATATAATATAAAGCACCTCAAAATTGAGGCAACCAAAATCATTAGAAAATCCCGGCCATCTTTGTACAGTTTTAATTTCTATCCTATCAATCTTTTCTTTATGGGATAATTAAATCTTCTAAATCTTTACTCACATGAGTAATCATTACTTCCAAGTTAGACCTCATGTGAGTAAGGATTAGCAGGATCAGGCCCCAAGTTTGCATTAAATGTTATCATTAGTTAAGATTATAAGGTTGCAATGTTAGTGATGAATGACTACAAGTGATGAATGACTACAATGTTTCACTTTCAGTCCAATGAAGTTTCCCTTATGGCTTCTTTCTTTCTGAAACTGTCATGGGCTTTTTCATCCCTGGCAAATGCCAAATAGCTATGAAGAAGACAATTCTCTGTCCACACAAGCATAAATAAAAATATAGTAGAAGAAATTTAAAACATTGCTCAATTCTGCCATTACATCATAAAAATGGCCTGTATTGCATTGGATTTTCCCTTAAGTACTTCATAATTCAGGGTTTGTACTAAATACTATAGTAAGCCAAGTTAATAGGAGAATGTTAACTTAAAGTGCAGCATAATTTCTGTAAGGGGATAATGAAGTAGATTTCACAAATTTGTGTGTGATTAATATTCTTCACAGTGATAGTATAAGTTAAATATTTCTTTTTAGTAATATATTTCTTCTTGGGAGGGGGAACACTTTAAAAACTTTATTCTAAATTATCAATTAAACTGTGAGATTTTTATCCAAAATATTTATTTCTTACAGACATTGGATGGATTTGTTTTTGTGGTAGCATCTGATGGCAAAATAATGTATATCTCTGAAACTGCATCTGTTCATCTCGGTTTATCCCAGGTAGGAGTAACTTTCTGCCCATCTGTTAAATACTGATGTTGGATTGCAGTAGTAATATCTTGGTAAATGTACTAGATTTAAGTTTTTTGCAGTGAGGTCTTAAGCTTTAATTTTGTTCTGATGCTTAAGTTTTGTTTTATTTAAGTAAAGCCATTTACTTACAGCGGCAATGTGATTATCTTACCTTGTATCTTTTCTTGTTGATTAAATTTTACTTCCTATTACAGGGGTGGGCAAACTACAGCCCGCAGGCCGGATCCAGCCCGCAAGCTGTTTTAAGCCAGCCCATGAGGTGCACCACGCGGCTCAGGGCGCTGGGTCGGGCCCTGCTCTGGTGCTCCAGCCGGGGCACTGGGTCGGGGGCCGCCCCAGGTGGCTTGGCCGCGCTTCAGCAGGGGCACAGTGTCAGGGGCTGCACTATGCGGCTCCCAGAAGCTGTGGCATGACCCCACTCTGGCCCCTATGTTCTCCAGTGGGAGCTTCAGGGGTGGTGCCTGCGGATGGTGCAGCGTGCAGAGCTGCCTGGCCGCTCCTCCACATGCCACAAAGAAGGGACATGCCACTGCTTCCAGGAGCAGCTTGAGGTAAGCGCTGCTTGGAGCCTGCACCCCTGTAGCCTCTCCCCACTCCCCAACCCCCTCGCCCAGCCCTGATCCCCCTCCCACTTTCCAAACCCCTTGATCCAGCCTGGAGCACTCTTCTGCTCTCCAAACTTCTCATCCCCAGCCCCACCCTAGAGCCCGCAACCCCAGCCGGAACCTGCACCCCTTTCCCTACCCCTGCCCCAGCCCTGATCCCCCTCCTGCCCTCTGAACTCCTTGATCTCAGCCCAGAGCACCCTCTTACACCCCAAACTCCTCATCTCCAGCCCCACCCCAGAGCCTGCACCCCCACCTCAATTTTGAGAGCATTCATGGCCCACCATACAATTTCTATTTCCTGATGTGGCCCTCGGGCCAAAAAGTTTGCCCACCCCATCTTATTACCTTTAATAAGGTTGATAAATGTTTTTGCAAACTGGAGGTAGGTTCTGAGCTTGAGCCTGGAACTCAAAGCTACTGCCTGCATGGTAATGCTGTACATCTCAGAAGAAAAAAAAAAATAGAGATTTCCAGTGTATATGTTTCGGATTGTATGTGATACTGAGAATTATTAAAATATAGAGTCTATTACAGGAGTGGGTGGGTGTGGCTCTGTGGCCTGCCGTGTGCAGGAGGTGAGACTAGATGATCATTATGGTCCCTTCTGGCCTGATAGTCTATGAATCTATGAAAGAGGAAATCTGATGTGGAAGATGTCTTACCATAAATGTGCTTTTTTGGGGGGGATTTATGAGTTTGTAGATGGGATTCAGAGTCATTTTTCCTGAGTTTTTTCCAGTTCAGTGATCTTTTCAGTAAAGTGTTTTATATGCATGTGATAGAACTTGTAAATCTCAGTTTACTACTGTTTTGCACAAGAAGTAAAAGGTTTTTGTTTGTTTTTTAGGACACTTCTAAATTTTTACCTTTTCAGAGTAAATACAACAGCAAATAGAATTAGAAGTGTATTTATTGTAAGATGCAGGTTTCCATGAGTTTGTTTGAAAATACACTCTACACATTTGGGGACTTAATACCTGATCCAAAGCTCACTGAAGTCCAATGGAAAGGTGCTCATTGATTCATTGGGCTCTGCATCAGCCTCACAAGGAACTAACCTTTTTGTAAAGTGTCTTCCATAGCAGCTGCATCCCAAATGCTGTGCAGAATTGATAAAACAGATAAATGATTAATAGCAGAGAGAAATGAAGAGCTAAAGGTAAGGGAGGTATGCTGTGTTTGCGACTAAGATCTGAAGAGTCAATGAGGGAAGGAGATATCGCAAAACTATTCCAAGACTGTAAGAGTTATGTGATAGAGATTAAAATGTGTATTTTAAGTCATAATGGTGATTAATGTTGAAAAGAATGGAAGACTATTTGGGTAAGTTTTATAACTGTTTGAAGCAATTAGAAAACCAACTCTAGAAAGCATGAAAAAGCAAATGTGTGGTATCACTACTCTGAAAACATCCCCCCAATAAACAGGAAGGAACCCTCAGGCTATTTTTTTGTAATCTCTGTTAGAAAAGTAATTTTCACATTGTGACACACTACGCAGGGTTCAGTGAGGGCACTTCCTTTTTCTACCAACTTTTAAAATACGTACAAGGAGAATTTTTAATTCAAGCCCTCTGTTTATTAAGCCTGCAGTTGCATATATTTGCTGTTTCATAATTTTACATATATATTTAAATTTCTTTTAAATATTGCCTTTTCCTGAAATATTTTCCAAATAAGAGGCGATATTTTCCACTCTGCATTTAGAGCCCTTACTCAAAGCCTCTTTACCCACCCACCTATTAAAAAGATCCATCATAACCATAGCTATTGAAACGGATCCACTTACACAAAACAATTGTTCTACAGCTATGGGTGTTCCACCAACCATCACTGAAGTGTTTCTTCATTCTCTTGTGTTTGTCATCTGTGTGAGGCTGTGTTAGTTACTCTGCTAAATTATATGAAAATTTCATATATATGAAAACAATCTTAAAAACAAAACAAACACAAGAGAATGAAGAAACACTTCAGCGATGGTTGGTGGAACACCCATTGCTGTAGAATAATATATATATCCCAGTGACATCAAAGAACTACAGAATCAATCGGAGAATAAAATAAGTTGAATATGTCAGATTCAAAGAAACTGTGCTGAAGTTCATCCCTGGGATCACCATGAGGCCTGTGCACCACTTCAGTGTCGTTTAAAACCTTTAAATTGGATATATGCTGGCCTTATGCACAAGAGTGAATTTCACCCCTGTCTTTAAGTACATCTTTATGCACTCTAACTGAAGTCCATGGGAGTTTTTCTTGGGGAAGGACTGGGGCATTTGGCCCATAAAGTTTACTGAAGCAAGATTAACCAGAAAATTCTTGAATATCCTGCAGTAGTAAGAAGTGGGGTATTGCCTTGAACTCTCAGGAAAGCTGTAGAGCAAAGGGAATGTGAAGATGTGAACTTAGAGCAGGGGTTCCCAAACTTGGTTAGCGGCTTGTTCAGGGTAAGCCCCTGGTGGGGCCGCGAGACAGTTTGTTTACCTGAGCATCCGCAGGTATGGCTGCTCGCAGCTTCCAGTGTCCGAGGTTCGCCGTTCCCAGCAATGGGAGGTGTGGGAAGCAGTGGCCCAGTCTGTGCCTGCGCTGCTTGCTGCAGCTCCCATTGGCTGGGAATGGCAAACTGTGGCCACTGGGAGCTGCGAGGGGCCGTACCTGCGGACGCTCAGGTAAACAAAGCATCTCGCGGCCTGCCAGGGGCCTACCCGCAACAAGCTGCAAACCAAGTTTGGGAACCCCTGACTTAGAGGCAGTGAGTATAAAGGGAGTATAAAACTGTGATTGCTTTAAAAAACACCACTTCAGATTTAGTAGCCAACCCCAACAATTTCACAGTATGCAATTCTTTCTATCTGTCTGTCTGTCATAAAATAAAGTTACTGGATGGATACCGAATGATGCATCGCATTATTTTATTCTCTTTAAAAGAAAAACACAAAACCATCTTCTTGTCAGCAGTAATTTGCCTTATTGTGGAATCTCATCCCACCATCTCTCTCCATTCTTGATTTTTCAAGGAACTGTTTACTTTTAAACACTGTAAACCTAGGTCGCTCCTACAAGCTTCACAGCATTTTATTTTTTAAAAATCCTTTCCTAAATGAGGTCTTGTTTCTGCTTCCCTTGAAGTCTCTGGGAGTTTTGCCATTGACATCAATAGGAGCAGAATTGGTCCATAGCAGCAAATTCTTCAAATTTCTCTCACCAAGTCATAATCCTACACTATATTTTCAACAAGAGCTCTTATATCTGAGTTTGGGCTCAGCTTGTCTTGGCTGGCACTCAGAGTGATGATGATGATTTTAGATAATCTTTTAGAATGTTTATAAAAAGGCCTTTTTTATGAACCATTTCCAGTATGAAACTAGATTACAAGTCAATTTTCAGTTGGTGCAATTTGTTGAAACAGCTAATTATGATCAATAAAAAAAAATACATAACATTTTTTTTACAAGATATTCTTGGAGATGTGCTGTAGTAATCTGTACCTTCAATCAATCCTGATTATAGCTTCAGCAAAAAGAACAGTGAGTCATTTACACCTTCTGATTAAGCTTTTGGGAGCCAACACATTTAAGTATGTTTACAAATGTATAAGCAACATTAAAGATATTTTCTTAACTTGTATTTTTTCCACTAATTCAGTTTTTTTAGACACAATTTACACACAAGTATCAGAAGCAATAATTTTTAAAAGTCCTATCTTAGTCCATGTCAGTTTTTGAAACAGGAATAGTAAATACTGAGGATCAGACACTCATCTGGTTTAAATCAGCATAGCTCCATTAAAGTCAGTGGAGCTACATTGATTTACGCTAGCTGAGGATCTGACCCTATGTGTCCTTACTCCGTGAATAATAAATGGGGCAAATTCCCCGGTGAAGCTCTTCTTAAAAACTGCTGGCACAATGCATCACCCATTACCGTTTAAGTTCATATGATCATTTTACTTCCTGATCCTTGTATTCATATAACAACATTTTGAAGAGGAAAGTTCTATAAATACACACTGCATAGCCATGCACTTACTCGCACATCTAAGAGACAGCGCCATACTGTGCTATCAACTCTAGCAGAATCCCTTAGTGAATTCTGTGAGGACTTAAGATGAAAAATTGATGGTATGATGTGGGCTGTACAGTTTAAGTGCAACTTGTATATGTGCACATGCACACACATATACACATTACTGCTTATGGGACTTATAGACTGCAGGGAAAACCCTTTTAAAACAGAAACAAAGAAAACTATTGTGAAAAATAGATTTTGAAGTTTTGAAAGTCTGGGCTAGCACTCCAGCAATTTTCTGATTCCACAAGGGAGCCAAACTTATATTTAATTTTTGATAAATCTTGAAATATTTAACCAAAAACATCTGAACTTGCTAAAGTTTAGTATACTTACTGGATGAAAGTAAAACAGTAGCAAAATATAAATTATTACTTTCTCCCAGTATCTATTTATTTAGTCCTCTGTTTATTACGAATCATTTCTTGGCAGAAAGAAAATATACAGCTGAGTTACACATAAAAAAAGCTCTTAGTAGGAAACAAATACAACTGGTAATAAGTAGGTATTTAAAAATATTAAAATGCTTCATCCAGGATCTGGTTTAATAAGCCTCATGTGTGAGACTGCAGAAGTTTTATGGATTGAACCATATAATTTATTTTTTAAGCTGTTAGTATTTTATCGCATGTTTAAAAAGCACCTATAACATATGCAAAACAGGAGACAGTGGTCAGTTCAAAAATTATGCACAAACATTTTGGTTGTTTGACTATTATTTAGCCCTAGATTTTTGAAGATGGTTTTAGGTTTCTCAGATTTATTTAACAATCAACAGATCAAATTTTGCTGTCACTTACATATGTAGAACTGCATTGATTTCACTGGGGTTGCACATGCATAACAGAATAGAATTTATCCCTATATGTAGATTCAAGAAAGCTAGCTATGTTAACTTTAAGAAATAAGCTATGTGATCTGAATCTCAGTGTATGTAAAACTGTGACCATGGGCCCAATTCTGAGAATCTTTCTGTGACTAGTCCTTGCTTGGGTGAGTAGTCCCAGTTAAGTCAATAGGATTACTTGCAAGAGCAAGGGCTACCCACGTGAGTTAGGTTTTGCAGGATTAGTCCCCATGTGAGGATTATGATTATAATCGATGAAATATGCAAGTCTTTTGGATTAACCTAATTAGTGTTTGTAATTAGCTTTGCAGGGCAGGTGGAGGAAAGATAGGGGACGGGATAAGAGAGATCTGAGGGTATTCTTCCTATGAACACTTTTTTATAACTACATTCCATTTGGTACAGTCTGATTCATTTCATAGGCAAAAAACCTGCTCTTCAGAAATATCCAGATGAGCGAAGGGTAAAAGCTATTTTAAGAGGGGATGGTGCCAGACAGAGGGTTAAGCTCAGAGGGACAGGAAAGGCCATAGACCCCCCCCCCTTCCCACATTTCGGTTTGAACATTCACCCAAACTCCGTCTTTCTCCAATAAGATTTTTTGCTTGTTCTGCTCTCTTGAGAGCTTAGAGCAATGCAAATCACAATGCTTTAAAAACGATGTATTAGGGTTTTTGTGAAACTCATAGCCCTGTTTATAATCATAGACATATTATGGATCAGTCTGCCACTTTTGCCTGTTTTATTTCTTTTACAAAGAGTGAAAAAAAATCACAAGTTGCAAAGAGTCATCCTTATGGACGTCCAATCCTTCCCCCAGCCACCAAAGCCAAAATATACTGAGCTGGTGTTGATGTCCCCACCTGTTATAATCCTGAAAAGGAATGGTCCCACTTTTTTTCTCATAGGGGCAATGATTTATATGAGCTAACATTGTTAATTTGGTATCTCTGGTTTTCCTTCTGCAACTGAAAGCTGTCTGTTTAAAGAAATGTGAAAATATGTGGTTGGAATATTGAATGTGTACCAGGGTTTTTGTTTTTTGGGAAGTGGGGGTGGGTAGGGGAGGGAGAGGTGGAAGGGAACAGTGGGGAATAGATGGCTAGAAAGAATTAGTTTGTATAGTGCTGGGAAGAGACATTCCATGAATAATGCAGAAAACGGAACTATGAGAGACATTTTCGGGAAAAGATTGCTTTGTGGGCTAGACAACTTCATTTATTCTAAAGAAAAGGCAACTCACACATCTTAGCAAATCAGTAGGATTGGCCCAGAAGAATAGGTTAAATTACTTCACCTCTCAGCTGCCTCTGATCTTTGGGGCCCAGTGCACATCAGGCCACAATGAACAATTGGGTAGCCTGACACTAATTTAAAACACAGGCTCAAAGTATTGGTTCTCTACTTAAATCCATTACTGCATCTATCTGGAGACTTTTTGTTGATGCGTTTTTACATGTGCCAAATAAAATGAGCAAAAAGGACATACAGCACATGCCAGTTATAATGGTGCTTCCAGCCTCTATACTATATTTATTATGTACATGGTATACAGAAAGGGACAAATACTATGACAGAAACACATCCATGTGTGAACAGAGGTTCAGAGCAAGTGAGAAATAGGAATATGCTATATTGAGGAAATTAAGGACAAATAAAACTCCTGCTGAGCTGGTCGTTTTTTTTTCTAATTCTGCACATTTATTTGAGGCAGGAGATGCTGGAGCCAGCGTTCATTGATATAAGTGGGAATAGCTCCACTGAATTAAATGGGCAGTAGACTTGGTCCTAATAAGAGTTTGGATTGTATTTTTGGAGGGCATTTACTGAGAAAAAAAAAAGTAACAGGAAATATATCAATTTGTTGGCTTGGCTGTTACATTTCAAATACAGACAGAACCTAGATGATGGTTTCTGGGAACATGTAAAACTTTTAGAGTATGTTTGTCTGTAAGAAAAGTTTATGCAGCTTGTGGAGATTTCCCCCCTCCACCCCTTTGTGGGAAGCTAACATTTCTGTAGCTCCTCTATCATCTCTTCGCTTGCCAGCTTTCTCCACTAGCAACTCCCCTGTGTGCAGAATAGCACCAGAAATTCCCACAAAAGCTTCTAAAGTGTTAGTTACCACTGAAGAAGGAATGATTCAGTTTAATAGGTATAATTTGGTGCATGGTTTTGGTCCAGTAAAAACCACACGTTGTAAGGGTAATGGACTGTATGCACAGTATACGGATGTAGTATACATAGGTCACTGAAGAATGCTTTATATTATTAAAAGAAAGGCTGTTTGTACTGCCTAATATTTTATATGTCTCTTGACAGGTGGAGCTTACTGGCAATAGCATTTATGAGTATATACATCCTTCTGACCATGATGAGATGACAGCAGTGCTTACAGCACACCAGCCTCTTCATCCTCACCTCTTACAAGGTACTTCCAGGAGATGTGATCAAATTGCAGCTGAAAAGCTAAAAAAGAAAGCTGCATTCAACACGGCAAGCTTATACATTATCCGGTAAAGCTTTGTGTACACAAATGCAGAATGGGTACCAAACTGATGCTGTAGCTCAGCTTTTTGGCTTGTAGCAGCATAGGTAATAAGCAGCACTCCTAGATTTATTAATACCATTCATCCTAAAGGATCTTGGAGCATTTGCAGTTTTAAATTGCAATTCAAACTTTACACAGGGATCATTTCATCCACCTCTGTTATGTAGCCACCTCTGAGGTAGAACATTACAGCTGCATTATACAGTATTTTAGGAGAGGAAGTGAAGAAGAATACATTAGCCAATAGAAAGTATGAGGACATGTCTCAATGCAATTTGTTAAATTTGGAATTTGGCTATGACACGAGAGGGAATACCCTTTCCTTTATGAAGAATGCAATGGGTTCTTTAATAACCACAAGCAGTCATGACTTAGGTTTGGTGTCTTACTGAAAAGATAGATCTCCAGAAGCAGATTTTTCCCCTAATATCATACTGTGGCACTGATTCATTACCAGCTCAGTCATCTACTGAATCACCAGAGCTACTTCTTGAAGGTATAGTGGGGTACTGTGTACTGACCTAGCACAATACTGCTTAGGGTAAAGTTTAGTAAGCAATCAGGTGTTTCAGGGGAGAAGGCAAAGCACTATATTGACAAGATGAAATACACAGCTCAGACCGGAAATATCTAGTCCACAGTGGGCATATTCACAGAATTAACACAACTATTAGCATCGTCCTGCACTTATTAGTATTACAACATCTCATTAGCATAACTCCTGCCATACTAATAATGTGATACCTATGTTTACCTTATCCCTTTTAGCTAATTTACTTTCCCATGACAATACTTTGAACTTTAAAATAACAGAACGTTTCAGATTCATCACGTTTAATACATTTTGACATATTTTTCAAAATTGCTTAATCAGTTTCAGTCCTGTCAGTATTGGATTGTTTTTTTCAGGACATGGCTACTAATAACACGGCACACTCCAGGCTACTTATGTTGCAGTTCTTAGAACTGGACTGTTTTGCTTATATGCCAATCTGTGAAATCTCTGCACCTTGACAGTGACTCTGTCTGTAGTGACTCCACCAGAATGAACAGAGGTCCTTGTGTACACTCATCTGTTCCTTAAGGAATCAAGCTCTCACTATTTTCCCCCCATGTATTGACGGGTAGCTGGGCTGTCTCAGGTATATCAAGTAAATCTCAAGGATTTCTCAAGTATCTCTGGCTGTCCATTTTCTCAGTATTTGTGTGGATGTAACAACACTAGCTGACTACCAGCTGTAATTGTCCATTCTATCTGCCCAGCTATCAGGCTGGACAGTGGTGTTGTATTTATGTCAAAGTACAGTTTGTATCATTCTCTTTCCTCCAGTTATAGTTGTACATCTTGTACTTGCTCAGGGCTTGAGTAACTGAACTTCTGTCAGAAGTGAGGTGGTTGTTTGACAATTTGCATAGGTTCTGGGGGAACTAACCCTCTTGGTGGTCTTTCAGGGACTGATGTGTATCTGTCATATTTAGATTTCATTACAAGATTTTTCTCTCTCTGAATAGCTTGTAGGCAATGTGTTCTGTGGCTATTTTGGCAAGGAGATTGTGAGTTCAGATGAGGAGGCCTTCACAAATTCTTGAAAATCTGCTCTTGAAAACCAGCATCCATGGTCATGTATTCCATGCCCGGCTGTGATAATTTGGGGAATCTGCTCATACAACATGTGAATTGTGGTTGATGGTGTGACGCTCGTATTATGAAAATGATTAAAATGTATCATCTGTGTGGATGTTGAATCCCACATTTACTGACAGAGCTATAGAATGTCTATCCCAAACCAGCTCCAATGGAGAGTCATTAACCTTAATGACTGTGCTCTGGACTGAACAATGGGTATACAAAGGAGGCTGAGTGAAGCTTGTCTGGAGGAAGGGGTAAGTGGAGAGAGTGGGAAATCCCCACCAGGACAATAGTGACAAAACAGGACACACCGACAGAATTTTGGAAGGCTTTAGGGTGGGAGATGACACTAATTTCAGTTTCTAGGCAACTGGACTGTCAAGGTCCCACTGTCAGACACCGAGGTTTACACCTGGAGTGCATGCCGAGAGAGAGTCCTAAAGCCAGGAACGGTGCCTACACTTTGCCCAAACTCAGCAAGTTAAAAGCACATGGGATTAAGCAGTTGGATCTTTTCACAGCAGTCTGGTGAGTGTCCAACAGGGGGAGCTTGACTCGACCTTACACTTGACAACTTTGTATGGGTGATCACTTATCTGGTGAGCTTGTTAGCTGTGAAAGCTCTTATCAATTTCGAGTAGTGATAAATTAATAGGAAATAGTCAAATTCAGATAAATCCTCTCTTAGGCTCAGTCACGCTAGGGCTAGGATTTCATGACTGTGGCTTTTTTGTTTGTGTTTGGCTGAAGCAATTAACATATATTGCACTGACACATTAATTATAGAAGCTCTTATCTCAGTCCCAAACAGGATATCTGCTTTTCCTTGCTTACATTTTTCTAGACCTGGAGGACTGATACTTTTTTTCCAAAATAGCCTCAGGTTGAGATCTAATCATGCTCTTTCTTTGGGCTATCCTTGTAAAAAATATGTTAATTTCAGTTTACACACAGCTAGTTCTTTGTGTTTCAGTGTGGAATTCTGCTGATTTTATAAGTAGCACCATAATAGACACATGCCTCAGGGTGAGTTACATACCTACTTTCAGGTGGTAGGTGATCTCTTTATTGCTCTGCTAATGGCATCTGCTATGTGTAGCTCCTTACCAACTTTATATTCCACATGAAGATGTTTTAGCATCATACACTGGATTCTAGGTCGTGCTAAAGACGGAGTTTTTACCAATCATTTGCAAATTTGTTCAGCTTCTATGTGCATATTTTCTCTTTCATAATCTATAATGTATTAGTGGAAATTAAGATGAACAGTTGCCAACATCTTCTTTGGAATCTAAGCATTTTTTCCCTCCTGTGTTGCTTACGGATCTTGGTGGAAATGCCTTCCTGCAAAAGGCATGACTCTAAGCCAGGGGTTCCCAAACTTGGTTTGCGGCTTGTTCAGGGTAAGCCTCTGGCGGGCCATGAGACGCTTTGTTTACTTGAGCATCTGCAGCTCAGAGGTCCCACTGGCCATGGTTCATAGTTACTTTTTAGCTTTCCTCTTTTTTATCCCCCTTCAACATAAACAAAACTTTGTAGATGTATTAAAATGGGAAAGAAGTCATTGCCGTTCAGGTAAACAAAGCGTCTTGTGGCCCAGCAGGGGCCTACCCTGAACAAGCCGCGAACCAAGTTTGGGAACCCCTGCTCTAGGCCTTAGGACAGTGTTTGCCAAATGGTGGATCACGACCACAAGTGTGTTCATGAGAAGCTTCTAGTTGGGTTGTCATGTCCAGGGCCAGATTAACCCATCATTGTGTCTTGGCCTAGGCAAACATACACTTCTCCCCTTTAGGGCAACTGGGCCAAACCAATAGTGCTGCAACACTGTGTGTCAGGCCACAACGCCTGGAATGGACAGTGGGGCCCAGGAGCCACTGGTGTAGTGTAGGCTTGACCTGCCCCCCCACTCCACAGGCCAGAACTAGGGTTGCAGGGCCAGAGCTAAGGGTGGGTCACACAAAATGGAGCTAGGAGGTTGCCTGACTGAAAAGTTTGGGAACCACTGCTTCAGGACATGCATCTGGCTTAATTAAATCACATTTTAAAACTGATGGAGTGGCATTTATTGTTTAATAGATCAAATTGCTGATTTACGTTTGTATTCTCAATGCCTTTATGGACTCAATTATTGAAGTATAGAGTGAAATCCTGGCCCCACTAAAGTCAAGGGAATTTGTGTGTTTGGGTGGAATCCTCACTTTCAAAGTCAATCAATCAATTTTGCCATATAGATTATTATTCAAATAAACTGCTGTTGGTCTTCTTTAGCTTCAAATAAATCCCTGGTGTAAAGGACATTTCCACTAATGTGTTTTTTACCTAAATTAGAAATTAAAGCTACTTTTATCAGTTTATGTCCTAGAGTTATTTTTGACTCTAAATTCAGTTTTAGTCATCTTCCCTCTCTTTAAAGCTTGCCCAAGTTGTCCAGGTCCCGTGTCCAAATAAAAAGCTCCCCATTATAAATTTGGAGAGATTTACAAGGTTTTAATATGTAAAGTTACTTTTTGTAGTTTCCCAGGAGTAGTACCATACAGCAGTCATTTAAATTCATAATATCTAAAAGTTACTAACTTACAGCCTTGCTTATTTAACTTTACTTGTCAAAATATATGTCCCACATCTAATACTCAAAACATTAGCCAGTGAAAACTAGTTTAATCTGCCAAATCAGCAAAAATATTCTACAGGTTGTAAATAAAGCTATCAAATGTGAACATACATATCTGTATTTTTCAATTCATCTTTGAGATGTGTGGTCCCTACGTGGATTCCAAACATGGGTGTGCATGCACAGGAACTGTTCATAGTAGTGTCCATTGACCTGCATGTGCGTCGACTGTGTGGTGTATCTGAGGCTTTAAGAGGCTGTGTGGGTCGACGCCGCTCCAGTTCCCTCTTACTACTCAATGGCCAGAATCAGAACCCCCGTTCCTCGGTGCTCTTAGCTTGCTAAGAGAACTATTCTACATTTTTTCTTTTGTATATAGTTGTTTTCTCTAGTTGTATATAGTTGTCCGTCGCATAGATGGCCAGTCAGTTAGCTCTCCACCCCTTTGCGGCACTTCACAGCAAGCCAGGTTTAAATACTGTGCTTCTTGCTTCCACTCCTCCTCCATGAACGATGAGCACCTGCCACTCCTTCCCGTCCCGTACCTGGGAAACTAGAGAGCTTCGCCTGGGCAGGTTCCTCGTGGAGGCGACTACACGCTCATGTGCGCAATCGGATCCGGCAGCAGCAGATCTG